CGGGCCGGGCACTGCGAGCACCCTGCCTTCCGCTGCGCAGCGATCGAGGCTGGGGAGGGGTGCGCGGATGCGCCCGCGTAGACACCCAGACAGACAAGCTGACTGACGGACCGCTGGGGGATGCGCGCGCCCCCGCACGCAGAACTGCGGATTGGAGGGGCCTGAGCCGGTGGGGAGGAAGGGAGGTTCGCGACTCAATACTGCATGACCTTGGGCAAGTGACCTGCCCTCTCTGGGCCTCTTTTTCCTCAGTTGGGCAGTGAGGGAGGCGACAGCCGGGCCTCCAGCATCCCTCTGCAGCTCTCGGCTGTGTGGCCTCACTGCGCTGAGTTCTCCGCCCTACCTCTTCCTCATCTGGGAAATGGGGATAAACATCTTACCTCCCTTACAGGCTGAGAGAATTTAGGGGAGAAGAGACATTGAAAACATCCAGCACAGGGCCTGGCACATAGTAGGTGTTCTGCTAACATTTATTAAGCAGCTGATTATTAACATTAATCTGATTGATCCAGACAGCCTGGCCAGTCGATATTTATTGAGGATCTCAAATGTGCCAGGTCTGGGGCTAGGCGTTTTATCTTTCTGAACCTGGAGAGGCAGATTAGTTCGGTTCTACCAATGAGGAAACCGAGGGATAGAGAGGTTCAATTCCTCAGGGTCACAGACACAGCAAGTCACTCCAGGGACCTTCCAGGTTCATGCTGGTCCTCAATACTCCTCTCCTTCAAATGGAAAAAAAAAAAAATGGGGATCTTGGGGCACGGAGAAGAGCCCAGCGAGTGCCACCGTGTCGTGGTGATGGTCTGTGACTGAGATCAGCAGGACCCGGCTTTCTGTCCCCCGGCACTATGACTTTGGGAAGAGTATGAGTTCCAATCTGTGAAATGGGCCACCAGCCAGATGGTGCATGGCTGAGGATCTGTGAGCCTGCGGCCAGGATGGGTATTAGTTAGTTAAAGCCGGCAAATGCTGGTTTGCTGGACTGACCCAGGGAAAGCTAGTGGGCTAGCGTATACCGTACCACGGTTCTCTCTTCACCCCTGTGTCCCAGTGCAGGTGTGACTCGTGCTGTGGCAACGTGGGAGTGGGGTGGGCTTTGGGAAAGGCTGGGATAGGGTCTGATCTCATGCCCTTGGAACCGGAAAGGAGACAGGAAGTGTCAAAGCGTGGGCTTGGATAAAGCCCACCTCTCCTCCCCAGGTCCCACCTGGCTGCTCTTCCCTGTAAGCCGGGCTGCATGGGGCAGGCAGGCAGGCCAGGGCCTCTCCAGACCCAGGAGAAAAGGGGCTCCTCTGCCCTCTCTCTCGCTCATGAGCAGCCATGAAGGTGAAAAGGAGCATTTATTGAGCCCTACTGTGTGCATTATGATAGACCTTTGTAGCCAGTCACTAATTTTATTTACTTATTTATTTTTAGATTTTCACCATAGGGTGCATGTCCTTGCTGGAGAGACAGGGAGAGACAGAGAGATACAGAGAGAGGGAAAGTGAGAAATGACTTCCCAGGGGAATGGCCACGCCTCAATCCCTTCTCCTCCATTCTTCTCCTGGGATTTGGGGCACGCACGCAGATGCACCTGGTGTGATTTTAAGCCACCAGATCCAGAACTCTAACAGTTGGTCATGTGGAAGTCCAGCATCTCAACCACCATGTCACCGGGTAGCCCCAACCAATCATTAATCTTTAATTCTTTCCTACAGCTTGAGAACACAGGCTTGTGCTTCCCACTTATACCTAAGGAAACTACCCCAGAGGAGTGACGTCACAGGCCCAAGGGCACACCAAGCTCTGAGTCTCTGGTAAAGCCACGGGACCATGCCCAGGGAGAGGCAGAAGCCAGGGCTCCTGAATGCAAGGAGGCTGGGGCAGGGTGTACCCCACCCATCCCCCTGGCACTTCAGTTCCCTGGACCTTCTGAAGGCACAGAGCAGGGCAGAGGCAGGGAGGAGGGGGAGGCAGCCGGCTCAGAGGCGGGAGGACGAGGGCTTGTGAGGACGAGGGCTTGTCTGGCGACTTCCTCATGCCCTCACTCCCCACCTCACAGCCCCAGCCCTGGGGGCGGAGAAGGAAACAGGGCTGGAGTTTAGCTTCCCCTGAGCAAACTCATCACGCGGTGACCACTGGCATCAGAAGCAGACGCTGGAGCTGCGGGGCGCAAATGGGGAAACTGAGGTTGGGGGGCTGACTCGGTAACTCACAGTCACTCAGTGAGGTAGAGGCAGGGTCGCATTTGGAATCCAGGACTCTAACCCCACCCAGGCTGTTCCCTCCAGGTGGCACCTCAGCCCCTCCCCAGCACCACAGCCCTGGCTGGGCAAGCCTGCACGTTTTGTAAAACAAACGACACT